GCATTTTGTTCGTAGAGGACGCATTGAGCACCCACATTTAGTCCATAAGGAAGAAACAAAAGCCAAAAGGGACTGTTGTGACACACTTGAAGAACAGAATACTATTTTGGAGAAACCAAAGAAGAAGGTCTGTGTAGATGGGGAAATTAAAAGCATCATTTAATCACAGCAAACACATGAGGGTCTAAGAGACCTGTTAGTATAGGCAGGCAGAAAAGAAATGCAGAAAATTTCATTGCAGGAAATTGTGGAAATTCTGACGATCACCTCTTAAAAAAAACATTGTAAGGCCTGATTAAGGAAGTTCTTAAGAAAGAGACCAAGCTGGCTGTGGTTGTGCATGCCTATAATCCCAGCTCTCAGGAGGTTGAGGCAGGAGGACCACTGTGAGTTCCGAGTACACTGTGCTATACAGTGAGTTCAAGACCAGTGAACAACAAAAGACTGAGACCAAACATTTTGTCATTCCTGTCCAAAGGAGTAAAAGAAAAAGCAAGAAGTGATTATAATTTATGTACACCTAGACATGTGCCTTGTGTTTAAATTCATTAAAACTTGATTCCACAAAAAAGAAAAGTGGTACTCAGGATTATGTTCCTGGGAGATGGTGGGTGAGGACCAGCTTAGTTTTAACCTGTGGCCTTCAGACTTGATAGGAGGGCCAGTGTCAGAAGCTTTTGTCATAACTATGACTGCTACTTGTCTCCAAAGCTGGAGGCTGCACTGGGCCACAGTGTCTCCAACACTTGGCCGCAAGTTGTTGGCTGGGACCTGGAGGGGGCGGGCAACCACGTTCATGACCGGTTAAAAGTGTGGGTGCTGCTGACCGCTCAGTTGGTCTGGTCCTCTCCCAGCTTAGCCACAAATAAGGGGCAAGGCCAGGCAGTCCCGTGAGCAGAGGGCCAGGGAGTAGCCACGCTCAGCGACCTCCTTCCTTAGAATGGCTCTTGTCCTCTCCCATTGTCCCTGGTACAAAATCTGCCGCCAGGCACAGGATACCAGAAGGCAATCCTGGCAGCCCAGGCCCAGCTTCAGAGCGACACTGGTCCACTCCAGGCGGAGCTGCTGCAGTGCCCGGCCCAGCTGGCAGAGCTGGAGGCCCAGGTGAGGAGGGCCTCAAAGTACCTAGCAGTGGAGACTGTGGATAGTGGTAAGTGCAGTAGAAGCCTTACCAGGAAGGAAGAAGGATGAGGCTCAAAGCAGCAGGAAGCGTAGATGTGGGGAATGCTGCGCCTGAGCTACCCTGCAGCTCTGTTGTCTCCTAGGTGCGGAAGCTGGAGCTAGAGCAGGCTCAGCACAGGGTGTTGCTGGAGAGTTGGCAGCAGCGGCACCAGGCAGACCTAGAGCTCATTGAGAGTGCACACAGGTACCCACCCCGCTGTCCGTGACCTGTCCGAGGGCTGGCTTGGATCTCCCTTGAGCTGCAAGACCACAGTGATGTGCTAGGAGACCTTTTAGGGAGGTGTCCTTTCAGCAGAAGTCGCATCAAGGTGCTAGAGACATCATACCAGCAGTGGGAGGAGCGTCTCCAAAGAGAGAATGAGGAACTGTCAGCCCAGTACCTGTCCCACCTCCACGAGACTGCGCTGGCTTGCACTGAGCTCATAGCTCAGCACCAGCACCCATTGGCCGCAGCTGAGCGGGAAAAAGATCAAGAGAGGATTCAGCTTCTGGAGCTGCAGCAGTGAGAACAGACTTGGGTGGTGGGTGGGAGCCAGCTGTCAAGGAGTGGCCAGAGGAGAACAGTGCTCGTGAGCCCCAGGCTGTGGCCTACAACCTTAGCACAGGGCTCTAGCCCTTCCTCAGCCCATGAGGTGAGGACCAGTGACTGCCCACACTGGCCCATTGCCCCTCCACTGAGGCAGGAGGTGGCATACACAAGGCTCAAAGTGTCCCTAAGTATCTGATCAGAGCATGGTAGCAGCAAGAAAGCGTCCCAGGGCCCAGGCAGACATAGGTTAATCCGTTCTCCTGCTGACCCAGTGGAGGCTATTGACTAGCTCCACCTGGGAGAGATGTACCTGCTGTGCTGGTGTGTTGGTTTGGTTGCTTTCTAGGCGAGAGCGATACTAACAAGATACCTATAGTCATGGGGATAGAATAGTGCTTTTAAGACTGCCCAAATGGCTAGCCACAAAGGCTTATCCACACAGCTTGCTTCTGTTGTTGTTTTTTTTCCCAACAACAACAACAAAAAAAAAAAAAACGGGCGGTTATTTTAGGGAATGGTCTGCAGCATCTACAGTGTCTTACTACATAGATCAGACTAGTAGTGATTCTGCTGTGTTCAGCCTCCCAAAGAGCAGGATTATAGGCATGCACCATCACGCCTAGTCTTAATCCTCTCAGCGTTGGGGGAGGCGGGATCAGCAGGGCACACTGGGGATCGAACCTCCAGCCCCTGCATCTGCCTAAGCAGGCGCTTTAATCCACTGAGCTATTTGGCCAGCCTGCACACATTTCTTGTTTCCTATGAAAAGGGCCCTTTACCAAATAACAGGAGGAATTGATGCAAAGGGCATTGAAACACCAAGAAAGAAAAGGCGCCGGGAGCCGGGAAAGTTAAGGTAGAGCTGTGGGGGAGGGGGAGGGTTGCACCTTCCCTGAAGAGCTCTCCTGGTGCTCTCTGTACCATCTGTCCATGTGGCCTTTCTCAGAATGGAGGAGCTGGGCCTGCCCCACCGCTTCCTATCAGGGCGTCCATCCTGGAGATGCGCTAGGACCATGAGGAACAGCTACAGCAGTTGAAGTGGCTGAGGGACCGAGAGATCGATGCCGTCACCAGGGCCGCCTCCCTCACATGATATGTGTGACCCCAGCCCTGCCCACCCAAGGTCTCAGGCCTGGATATCCCCAGGACAAGGTGTCTCAATCCTCCTCCAGGTCCCAGATGGAACAATTGTCCAGCAGCCTGAAGGAGCTGGCCTCCCACGTGGAAGCCTTGCACCTCACCACCACACAGGAGCTGGAATTGGGCATTCGGCAGCGAGATGAGCAGCTGCAAGGTACGTCCCTCGTGTAGTTAGGGCCCCCTTGATGGGAAGGAGGGCAAGGCGTTGAGTGCCCTGTGGCCGTTCCCAGTCCTGCAGGAACTGCTGGACCTACAGAAGCGTGCCATGGAAGAGCACAACCAGCTCCAGGAGGCCACTAGGAAGAGGGGGAGGCACACCTGAGCCAGCAGAGCAGGTGCGCATCCTCCCCAGCAGGCGCCTGCCCCTGGGCGCAGCCCAGCTCTGTCCTCCACTGCATGCCTCCTCATGCTGTCAGGGCTCCTCCCGTCCCTCCCTGCCTCTGCCCACCTGTGCATGCAGCTCTGCCAGGTAGCCACCTATCCTCTGCTCCTTGGTCCCTGGCCACGGGCCCGCCCTGCGCAGTCCTCCCACCGGCAGCTGTACTTCTCTTTCTCCTTTCCCTGATTTGTCATATCAGCTGGTGCCTGTGGCATCAGGACAGACATGCTGGCCCGCAAAATGCAGTTTAACCCCCACATCTATGACACACATGTTTAACTTCACACATATCATACATGTGTAGGAGCAAGCCTTATTTTAAAAAGGATAACACTTTCTTTCCTTTGTCATAATATAACGTATTTCACTGAAAAAAATGTAAAATATAGGAAATACTAAAGAACACTGAAATGACCACGAGGCAGAGATGCCCATGGATGGCAGTGTCCTGGGCCAGTCCAGCCTAGATACAGGGGCAGGTGGACACCCAGTGGGAGGCTACCATCATCAGCCTGGCCAGTGTACGGCCCAGCGCCTCCAGGACAGCCCTGGCCTTTGCCCTAGGTACATCACCTTCCAGGCCTAGTAATTTCAGCAGTACCGCGGTTCACAAACTCCATTCTCTCCATGATTCTGGTCACAAACCAAACTGGCTAAAAAGTGAATCACATTTCCCCATAAGGGCAACATTGAGCCTAATCATTAAATTTGATTTGGTTCTTGTACTAATTGGTTTTGTGATCAGAATCGGGGTAAAAAAATGAAACGGGAACTGAAGTACCGCAATAAGAGCATCGTAGTGACATCACAAGAATATAGGGACCAGCCAGGCATGGTGGGCACAGCCTGGAATCCCAGCTACTCATGAAGGTGAAGCAGAAGGATCCATAATTCACAGCCCAGCTGGGCAAGTTAATGAACGCTTATGTCAGAAATAAACATGGAGTGTGTCTCAGTGGCAGAGTGCTTTTCTAGTGTGCTTAAGGTACTAGGCTCAACCTCCAGTACCCAAAAAGAAAGCATTAAAATCATATAGCCAGGCACTTATAATCCCAGCTCTCATGAGGCTGAGGCAGGAGGATCCTTGCAAGTGTGAGACCAGCTTGGGCTACAGAGTGAGCTCAAGGCTAGCCTGAACTGCATAGCAAGACCCTCCTCAAAAAGACAAAAAGAGAAAAATAGTCACCACCCTTGTATCATCCAAGGCACTTTATACACATTTTTGTCAGTGCACGTAGTCTCATAACAAACATTTTTGGTTTGTTTTTTGTTTTGCTTTGTTCAAGGTGAGCAGCAGTTTCTCGGGGCAGGACCAGCTTAGGTGCTGCTGGCCTGTGAGTCCGCTCATGGATTACCAGAGTAGTGTGCAGAGGGTGGCTCAGAGGCGATGAGGAGCAGTGCAGCTGTTTGGCGGTGTGGTCCCTTCCTGCTGGACGGAGACCTCTCATTGCATCTGAGTGTGAAGAGGGTCAAGCTTCTGTTGGTGTCAGAGCAGCTCACCTTGCCCCAGCCCCGCCCTGGGATGTCAGGGAAGGCTTCCGAGACAGACCACTCCCTATGGTATTCCCCAGGCCACAGCAGGAAAACCGAGGCAGTAGAAAGCAGAAGTGACAGCATGTGCCAAGGCCTGTGGCCTAAGGAGCAGGGTGTGCAGAAGAAGTGGAGGTCTGCTTCGACCGAGGCTCGTATTCTAGGGCAGAGCGCTGGGGGCTGGGGCAGAAAAGGATCTGAATTACTTGAGCCACCGAGTTTTACCTTGTTAGAACTGGCTCCCAAGAACAAGGCAGCTCCATCTAGAACATGATCCCGTGTCCTTAACCAGGTCCCTGATGCTGCTGTGTGGTTAGTTGCAAATGAGATGATCAAGAAGAGCTACACTTGGGGCTGGGGATTTGGCTCAGCGGTACAACGCTTGCCCAGCAAGCTGGACTCCTGCTAGGTTAACTCAGATGTAACAACTCTGTTATTACCTCCTCCTCGCCCCAAGCGAGACAACTACAAGGGCAACGGGACAGAAGGTCATAATCTGCAGTTTAAACCCAGGCTATGTGAGTCCAGAATTAGAGCATGGACCCTACTCCTTTCTTGAACCCTGGTTTGCAGGGTGGGGGAGCTCAGGATGTCTCCTGCAGGGTTCATAAACCTGGATGCAAAGGGTCGGCCTGATAGCTCAGCGGACTAAAGCAGCTGTCATGCCGAGCGCCGCAGGTTCCATCCGTGGTGTACCATGCCGGCCCCGCCCCCGGGGCGCACTGAGTCTGGGTCTGGTGGCAGGCCCCTGCAATCTCAGCTCTTGGGAGGCTGTAAGCAGACAGATCACTACATGTCTGATCTAGTAGTGACACTGAACACCCTGTAGACCCTTCCCTAAAATACAAAAAGAAAAGAAAGATGATTGGGAATGGGGGTACAGGTCAGAGGTAGGGTGTTCCTGGGCTCAGAGTCATGCTGGCTGTTGGGAGGCCCAAGGGTATGGTGCTACTCTCAGCATCCGGTGAGAACCTTCCAGATTTGAGCCCAGGTCCCTTCCTGTTATAAAGCCACAACACCCTCCTGACCTCATGCAATCCTTATCACCTGCCAAGGTTTGCGCCTCCAAATACCATTAACACATGACTTTAGGGACTAAGTTTCCTAAACATGGGCTTTTGGGGTCACATTCCAAACAACATGGTCCAAAAGTTTGGGGGAAAGAGACTCACTGCAGTCTACAGCCTGCTCTAGGGACTTTCCCAGGAGCTCAGAGCAACAGGTATGAAGAGTTCTCAGCTACGAGCTGCTGAGGCTCCCTCGTCGCCATGCTCTGGCCTAGGGAGCGGCCTGCCAGAGAGGAAGCGTGTCAGACCCAGGGATCAGGTTTCTGCAGAGATGTGTGGGATCCACGGGAGTGGTCCCCAGACAGCAAGATTGTAGTTTCTGAATGAAACATGGAGTCCCTCAGATGGCCGGGCCGTAGGCGACCTGGCAGGGACAGCCGGGCATTGACTATGATGCCATGGAAATGCCCACCCTTCTCCCTGAGCTCGGCCTGAGCCTATTGATCTTTTGGCCCAGGCCTGTGTGCCAGGAGGGGGAGAGAAAGCCTCTAGCTGAACACACAGGAAGATCAAGGCATGGTGGAGGAGCTGCTCCAGCCCCAGGCTCACGCCCAGGGGCAATCACTGGAAGGGAAGCTGAGCTGCCCTTCACCTCATCTACCCTGAGCCTATTCTACCTCCTCCGTGCTGGTTTTGGGCAGCAGGTTGGGCAGGGCCTAAGGATCACCTCACCCTGGAGTGCACTGCAGGGTAAGGCAGGGAAAGTGGGAGAAAGCCAGAGTGGACCCGCAGCTCCAGACCCAGAGTTGGCTTGATTTGAATGAGGAATGTGAATGCTCTTCCCTGACAAATTCCCCTGACACACCCCTACTTGCCTTCTCCCTCTTGCCCTCCCCTCCTTCACTACTATTTCATCCTCTTCCTTCTGCCTATGGATTGAATATAGAGCTCTTTGGATATCTTTGTGACAAACTGAAAAATATTAGGATTAGCACACAAGATCCTGAGAATGACTTAAACTTCCTGAAAAACATCAGAGAATGACTAAAACTTCCTGAAAAGGATCAAGGGACCTAGTGTAGGATCTTAACACCTTTATTCAGTGAAGCTTGCTGATCAGTTTGCTGGATAGGTCCATCAATAATTTCACCATACAGTTACAAAAGAAGCAGGTGATGAGGTAATTATGTTAGTGATTAACAAACTCATTCTCATTGGTAACCCTCCTGGTTTCACCTATGCCCCCAGTGGCTATGAACAGGAGGGTGGAGGCATGCCGTGCAAGAAGTGGGAAAAAATAAAGAGAAATGTATGTACCCTTAGCTTCAGAGCTGGCGTAGGGCAAAGCAATCTGCAGAACAGTTTCTACAATAGTGTACTAATTTACAGCACAACCAAAAACCTAAAATGGCAAATGTCTTTGCTGTGGAGACATGCGTGTGCATGTGTTGTTTAATACCTATATTGAGTTTTGTAAATGCATAAAATTCATGTGTATAAATATACAGTTCATGTACAAATGTGTACTTTTATGTACACAGGTGTTCCTCACTTAAAACCCTACCTGTTATATGACTATTTGTACTTATGTATCCTGGCTATGTAACTATTTCTTTTTTTTTAATATTTATTTATTTATTTGTTTGTTTGTTTATTTTGTGTGTGTGTGGCCAGCTCAGCCCACCAGGGGGTGGGGCTGGTTGGCATGTGGTGCTGGGGGATTGAACCGCGGTCCCTGTGCTGTGTTTAGTTTAGCTTGTTCTAAGTAGGTGCTTCAGACCACTGAGCCATCTCACCAGCCCCTGTAACTATTTCTTGATTATAGGACCTTAACTTCTTTTTTGGTAGTGTACACATTGTTTGTACAGTACTGTATCTTTGGCTAATTATACTGTACAGTATTATAGTTTTATATTATACATTATACTACTGTATGTAGGAGTTACACAAATAAAAAAGTCATTAGGTTGGAGTTTCCTGTGACCATTTATTTGCTCTGAGTATTGTACATACTCTGTACAGCTCCTCATTTAGTGAGCAAGTCACTGGAGCAAAAACTAGTTGTTCACTGTGTGTTTGAACATATAATGTACAAATATGTATTTATGCATATATTTTCTCTAATAATGTATCTGGAATCAGTATTTTCAGGGTTTCACATATGGTATTTTTTGTGTTGCTTGCAACTTGCATACATATAGAGAAATGAACACCTACACACATAGATACATATATTTATACAAAGATGTAGGTATTGTGTCTGTTGACAAATTTTAAGGCAGGACACCAGCCACTACTTCTGATGAGGAGAAAGTGAGACTGTGCCTCCCAGTCAAAAGAACCTTAGACTGAGTTGTCCAGATGGATACTGGGGAGTATGGACACCTCTCCTGGCAACTGGCGCAC